AGATAGAAATTTGTATCAATGTGCACTAAAACTAAATTGATAAATTATACCTAGATCCTTTTATGTTTGTCACTTAATCATTTTGACCCCTTCACATTTAAAATATTATATAAATATCTATATTTTATTGGACATTCAAATGGTAAGCTTGATTTTGAACTTTAAAGTATATCGAACCCACAAAATAAAGGGTAATATAAAATTATAATATTTTATTAGGATAAAATTTGATTATATTAACATATATCAACGAAAATGGGTTATGGGTTATGTGTTATACGTGCACAAACGTCATGAGATGTAGGAGTAATATTCTAAATATGAAGGGGTCTAAATAATTAAGTGACAAACATGAGAGAATCTAAGTATAATTTATCAATTTAGTTTTAGATGCACATTAATACAAATTTTTATTTTTGAGGGTACAAATTGAGATTTTTGATCTTTGGGAGTGCAAATTGATATAAATTTTTATCTTTGAGGGTGCAAATTAAGATTTTTGATCTTTGGGGTGTACATTGATACAAATTTCTATTTTTAAGGGTATAAATTGAGATTTTTTTATCTTTAAGGGTTTAAATTAAAATTTAAACTATCTTTCGGGGTACAATTTATAATTAACCCTTTGATTATTACTAATTAATGTTACTATGTGTGTTGCACTATTTTTATCTCTGTCATGTTCATATTCTCTCTTCAGATTGTTGTAAGCACTTAAAACCACAAAATATTTGCTTCTAAAGCTAATGTTTAAATTTGAACCAATTTGCAACACTAATAACCACAAAAAATTCAAATAAAAATTATCAAGAATTAATTTTTTTTTTTGCTAAAAGGAAATTTTATTTATTTACAAAAACAAAGAATTACAAGAAGCAAAAAGCGAAAAATAAACGCCTAACAGAACAATCAAAATAAAACCGAACAATCAAAATAAAACCAAGACACATACGCCTTTTAAAGAAAAGGACTCAAAAAACTTCAAGCCAAAAACACATGTAAAACAACCCAACAACTTCCGGTCCAGCAGCACATCATAGATGAACGGGTCAATAAATTTTGATCATTATTTGACAGTTAAATTTGGACACGTGTCAAGTTGTACGTAATGAATAGTGTTATTTAGAATTACTCTACTATGATCAAGCAGATAGTTAGGCTATTCGGGCCAAACAGAACAAGTAGTTAGGCTATTCGAAACGAGCAGAACAAGTAGTTAGACTATCCGGGCCGAGCAGAACAAGTTGCTAGGCTATCCGGGCTGAGCAGAGCAAGTAGCTAGGCTATTCCGACCGAGCTAAAATTGGTCCGACCTAATACATATTAAAACTCGACCGAACAGACAGCTATATTGTCCTGGCCGAGCAGAAGATGAGATCCGACCAAGTTGTTATCAAATAGAAACACAGCAGATCAGAAAGCTCATAAATGAAGGAATGAGCTCGGTCCTCGTCACGACCGAGTTGTTTAAAACAGTAACGTGGTGCTAAAAATATGCTTACAATTCAGGCATTTTTGGATAAACGAATAGACTTAATAGAAGGAATTACTGGAGAGATCTTAGCGACTTCTTAAACAGAATCACCTGATTAGGGGAAGGCGTGTCACCTTGAATCGAAATTCATGGAAACCCTAACTGAATAGGGTCTATAAAAAGCAAAAGGAGTCAAGGTGAAAGGTACGCTGAACTCTCCTTATCTTCTAGCAAATGTTTCTATTCCAATACTGACTTAAGTATCAAAGTGTCTTCGATTGAAACACTTTGATCTTGGACAGTTTGTTCGTTTTGCAGAACAGAAAGATTGAAAGATCAAGTTTAAAAACATTCCTTACCAGAAAGATCACATCAAATTCCTTGTAGAAGGTATCATTAATTTTTTGCCTCTTACATTTTGGCATCATATGTGAGAAACAATGATCAAGTTTATTCGAGTGCTCGGGCTAGTCACTGCAATTGGAATTGCACAACAATAGAGAATGCAATAATAATGTACAGACCTATTCTCGTGTGAATAACACAAGTTGGTGATTATCTCGCGAAACGTGTATTTCAAAAAAGGCAAAGAGAGATCATATGTTATATACCTCTCACGGTGGATGTCGGCTCACGGAGCAAGAGGGGTTATTTATCTTCACGTGGAAGGATCATAAGGTACTTCTTGAGGCTACTTGGTCCAATGGAATCAATTTTCATGCAACAAAATTGGTCACTTTTTATTTAGGCCGCATGAGGCTAACAAAAGAAAGAGATATTATTGATGTCTTTTGACATAGAAGAAACCAGTGTGATCAATCATCAGAAAAGACTTACGATGTTATACCGTAGAGAGACTCAAGCGGGTCAATTAATTGATAACCAATCCAAGGGGCCAGCCGATAAGAATTGCATGCAGACAACTCAAAAAAGATAATCAGTGTACCACTTGATTTCTCTTATTCACGTTGAAGAATCATGGAGTGCTGGATGTGGTATTTCGTTTGAGTAATACTAGATGGATTTAAAAAGTAGACTTAAAAATTAGACTTGATAATTTCAACCATTGAAGAAATAGTGAGCTCCAATAAATGCTGGAATCCACAGTGAAATCAATGGTTGAAATTATCAAGTCTAATTTTTAAGTTTACGTAGCATTGCTCATTTCGTTTCTATGGAATTGGTTTTTTGAACCAAGTCAGCTACCCTTTATTTGGGTCCCATGGCCAACACCAGGTAATACAAATATTTAATACATCTTGTTTTGCCTTTCATATCAAAGAATGTGCATGCACGATCTTACACAATATAAACACAATAACAGATCTTTTTCGTGGTGAACACGAGTTTATCGATCGAGTGGTCAATCTTGCTACTTGGAATAGGTTGTGAGGGTCGAAGGTGGCCTAAGAAGTGGTGATGAATTGTTTTTATGGGTCGCTTGACTGGTCCTGGGAGGCTAAGAAAGGTTCCTAGAACAGAGAAAAACAGGTTAGAAGGGCGCCAGAGTGTTTTTCAGCGTATCCCCTCCGACGATCAAGTCAGTTCTTTGAGAGATGAAAAGAATAAAATATTGTATGATGCTTGAGAAAAGGGTTTTCGCGTACCTCTTTAATGTGTTTGTGAGGGTTATTTATACCTTGTAAAATTCATCATTGCTGACAGCGTAGCCAGTAGGTAATCATTAGAGGTGGATAGTGTGCACGCTAATTTCTATGAGAAATGTCATCATTCTTAACTGTTCGGGACCCCGAACAACTAATGTTTTCTCCTCGGTCTGCCGAGTGTTTAATGACCTTCTCTCGGTAGGGATGTATTAAATGCCCAGGCATAAGAACATTTATTACCTTTCACTTCCGGGCTCTTATGCATTAAATGCTGTCTCATCAAGGGAAGGATGTATTAAATGTCTGCCCTCTCAAGTCGTGTGTCAGCAAGTCATTCTGGTCTTTTCGTGTCTGACCTGAAACAATGTGTCATGTGTCCATCCCCCTTTGGTGGAGCCTTCTGCTTTCTTGTGCCTCCTGACACCATTTGAGTAGGACGATGTTATGATGGCTAGTTTTAGCCTAGCCTAGACTAGTAATCTGTCAATCAATAGCCCATGCAGGAGCAAAAATGTCCACGTGGACAGATACACCTCGGCGTCGGTAGACTAGTATGATTAGGGACCAATATACCCAAACTGACCGAGGGATACGTGTCGGTCCATGGCGTATTGGGGATCCTTGATCCCTGTGAACAGTACCCTCGGGAAGGGGGTTATAGGCCTACGAGGACGTGTCGAGATCATAACAGAGAGTCTCCATTGACGCCAAGTACATGTGTCGTCATTTTGGTGTGTCTGAAAATGTCCCATCAAAAAATACTTTCAAGGTTGAGGTATAATTGGACTAAATTATACATAAGATCTTGAACATAGTTGAATTATCTTCATGATTTTACAAAGAAATCAAAAAGGGTCAATTACTCAAACAGACCAAAGGGTCAACAAAAAAATAATAATAATTGACTATAGGAGGAATCGAAACGTGCCGCTTGATTCTTGGTAGACATGACTTTCATGAATAAAGACCAATTCTATACGAAAATTGGTGAGGCATAAAAGTTCGGCTACACATGATATCACTTGTAAGAATCGGCTTTTCCTGAAAAAACACTCGTTGATCTTAACACATGAAGCAAGAAAGAGAGAGAAAAAAGAAAGGGGGCATTCGTCGCCGAATAGTATGCCACAATACACACTGGCTCTTTGCTTAAGAGAAGGATCATTGAGCAAGTAACAATAATGGTCGCGTTGAATAAATGTGGCGTATCAATTCTTGTGGTCACGTATTTCCATGGAATATAAATTCACACTGGAAGAAGCCAAATACCTTATTTGAGTACCATGGGGTCAACACCTAATGATGAAATTCTTTTATATTATAGTTTATGATAAAAATCTCATCCCTTGCTTTAGTTTGTATGTGACGTGAGCACAGGGAGATGAATTATGAAATCTGATGCCTTTTATGATGGCTTATAATCAATTTTGATCCCAACACGTTGAAGCATTCGACCAGTGAAGTTGGCTAATTAGAAAGAAACCCACGAGGGTCAAAGCTCGATACAACAAAGAGGTCCAAGAGGACGAGAATTAAAAAAACTATGAAAGGAATCTAAGTGTGCCACTTGATTCCATGAAGCATGAACATGGTGCAATCCAGTCATGGCTTTTTTCTCTTCCAAAAGCTCAAGGACATGGCTACCAATCAACTAGCAAGCAACAAGCACTCGTTGAGATTTCTGTGCCAAATTTTTCGATGGACTAAGATCAAGTCTCCAAGATTGGTTATTTCAAAGTGGGGCACTTTTCGCACTACAGATCTTTCAAGATCACCTGATATTGTTATTGAACATTCTTAAATACACTCTTTAGGCTACAAGAGTCCAAAGGTTTACCTTTAGCTCATGTGAATATTACATCATGAAGAATCAGAGTTTTTGTTTGATTATCTATTTGAGCCTTCTCAAGGCAAAGCCAATGGCCACCATCACGCGGAACATGGATCATGGAATCATTGACCGAAAAATTCAATCCAGTCAAGAAGCTCTTGCACCAACATTTGAATGGCCACCATCACGCGGAACATGGATCATGGAATCATCGACCGAAAAATTCAATCCAGTCAAGAAGCCCTTGCACCAACATTCGAAGGGAAGGTAGATTTATGGATTTACCAAAGACAAGCTCGACTTCATTAACCTGCTGGGAGGAGATTGACATCAACACATCATGACGATCAAGATCTTAGTTATGCAACACAGGTTATTTTGCCAAAGGCTTAGCATGTCCTTACACAGGCATAACTTGACCCACGAATTCTCTAGCCATATGAATTCGAGGACGAAGTGCCGATTCCGCTTAAACAGCCAAGCAACTACAACAAGGGAACAGAGAGAAATTCTATCAGAAGAGTCATTGAGCAAATTATTTTAACAAAAAATAAAGAACGTTTATTCAGCTCTTTGCTTCTATGCCCATGGCGCATTGTTTCGGCATCATTTTCCCAACCTGCCATGATAGCACAGAGATCCTATTCCGATTAGCTCTTCCTATGTCCATAGAGACTAATACTCCTGTTGAATTATCACCATGGCTGCCCAACCTTGTTCTCAACTCCCTCTTCAATCTAAAGTGGATCTTCGTCATCAAGGATGCATCAAAAAATGTCAAGGACAGAGCAGAGTGTTGGGAAAATAGGCTTTCCCACAAGTGTAAATCAATGGAAGCAATATAAATAAAATAACAGAAAATAAATAAGCACACAAGATTTACGTGGTTCCCTCAAATAACTTGAGGTACATCCACGACGACCGGTAGGTCAGTTTCTTCCACTATCACCAAATCAGATTACAAAGTGGCCAAAAGACATAAGTCTTACAAACACACCAAGGTGTAAATCACAAGAGGAAAATACCTCACAAAATAAGTGAACCAAATCTCCAAGAACAAACCGCAAAAAACCCAAATATCAAGTGAAGAAATATTACCCACTTGAAGAACAAATTTGCAGATTTTTCTGGCACCAAAAAGGAGAAGAAGAAGGCTGAATTTTTGTTGAACCAAAGACTGCCGAAAAATATGTCTTCTTACCAAACCAACAGAGAAGAGAAGAACCAAAGAAAATGACAAAACTTATAGTCTTTTGGTGGCTGCCAAATTCCTTTTTAACTTGAAGACTCCAAACCAAGTCTTGGATAAGAGTCCTACACGGGTAAGCCACCAAAAAATTAGCAAATTGATGAATCCCACAAAGGAGGGAAACCCAACAATTCTCCCCCTCCCGACTTATGTGGAGGATTCGACCATTCCCGCCAAAAGTCGACACTTCTCATGCTTGTCCTTAGTCAATGCCTTAGTTAACATATCCGAAGTGTTATCATCAGTGTGAATTTTTTCAAGTTGTAACAACTTATCATTCAAGACATCACAAATCCAATGATATCTAACATCAATATGTTTCGATCTCGAATGAAATGAAGAATTCTTGCTCTAGTGGATTGCACTCTGACTATCACAATGAAGGACATACCTTTCTTGTTTCAAACCCAACTCTTGTAAGAATTCCTTCAACCACAATAATTCTTTGCAAGCTTCAGTGATGGCGATGAACTCAGCTTCTGTGGTGGAGAGAGCAACGCATTTCTGTAATCTTGATTGCCATGCCACTGCTCCCCCTGCAAAAGTAATCAAATAACCAGAAGTAGATTTTCGACTATCAACATCACCGGCCATATCAGAATCTGTGAACCCATCAAGAATAGGCTCGCCTTTACCAAAACACAAACTCATCTTTGAAGTGCCCTGAAGATACCTCATAATCCATTTCACTGCTGCCCAGTGTTCTTTCCCTGGATTAGACAAAAATCGACTGACAACCCCAACTGCGTGAGCAATATCCGGTCGAGTACAAACCATGGCGTACATCAAAGAACCAACTGCTGAAGCATAGGGAATTTTCTGCATCTCATTTCTCTTTTCATCACTTGTAGGACACTGACTTGAGCTTAGTTTGAAGTGGCCTGCAAGTGGACAATTAACAGGCTTTGCTTTGTCCATATTGAACCTCTCAAGAACCTTTTTAATATAATTCTCTTGAGATAACCAAATCAGCCCATGTGATCTGTCACGAACAATTCTCATCCCAATAATTTGCTTTGCTGGACCCAAATCCTTCATGGCAAAGGACTTACTCAACTCTGACTTCAACTTGCTAATCTTACTCGTGTCTTGGCCCACAATAAGCATATCATCAACGTAAAGCAAGAGAATAATAAAATTACCATCTTTATATTTCTTCACAAACACACAATGGTCTGAAGTGGTTCTTGAATACCCATTCTCACTCATGAAAGCATCGAATTTTCTGTACCACTGCCTCGGTGCTTGCTTCAATCCATACAAGCTCTTCTTCAATTTGCAAACTAACTGATCATTACCCTTATCTTTGAAGCCCTCAGGTTGCTCCATATAAATTTCCTCTTCTAAGTCACCATGCAAAAATGCGGTCTTCACATCAAGCTGCTCAACTTCTAAATTCATACTCGCAGCTATACCAAGCACAGTTCGAATGGAGGACATCTTCACAACTGGTGAGAAGATCTCATCAAAATCAACTCCCTTTCTCTGATCAAAACCTTTCACGACAAGTCGTGCCTTGAATCTCGGTTGAGAACTGTTCCCATCATTCTTTCGTCTGAAGACCCATTTATTTTTCAAAATTTTCTTCCCTTTAGGCGGCTTCACCAAATCATAGGTGTGATTCTCATGCAAAGACTTCATTTCCTCTTTCATTGCCTTGAACCATTCAGTTTTGTTCTCATGCTTCAAGACTTCTTGATAAGTCCCTGGCTCCCCCTGATCTGATATCATCACATACTCATTTGAAGAATATTTTCTGGATGGCTGTTTTTCTCTAGTAGATCTCCTTAACGGTGTCTGTGGTAGTGGCTCTTGGGGTGGTTGCTCCCCCTCAATCTCTGGCTCAACATCATCTTCTGCTGCATCATCATGAGGTGTTTGCACTTCCTCATCAATATCATGAACAACAGAGGGATTGAGAGGATCTAAATCAACAAGATCATCAGTACTAGACTCAGCTGACTCAAGCTTGTCGATGTCTTCAATAGTCTGATCTTCCAAGAAAACAACATCTCGGCTTCTGACAACTTTCTTGTCAACTGTATCATACAACCTGTATCCAAATTCTTCATGCCCATAGCCAAGAAATATGCATTGCTTTGCTTTTGGATCAAGCTTGGACCTTTCATCTTTTGGAATATGAACAAAAGCTCTGCAGCCGAATACCCTCAAGTGATCATAGGAGACTTCCTTCCCTGTCCAAACTTTCTCTGGCACATCACCATTCAACGGAACTGAAGGAGACAAATTGATAAGATCAACTGCGGTCCTCATTGCCTCACCCCAAAAGGATCTTGGCAATTTAGAATGTGAGAGCAAACATCTGACTCTCTCAAGAATGGTGCGATTCATTCTCTCTGCAACCCCGTTCTGTTGAGGTGTCTTTTTAACTGTCTTTTCATGCCTGATACCATGATTTGTGCAATACTGATCAAATGGTCCAATATATTCACCACCATTATCCGAGCGAACACATTTCAACTGTCTACCTGTTTCTCTTTCAACCTTGGCCTGAAAAATCTTAAACACATCTAGAACTTGATCTTTAGTTTTCAGTGTATAAGCCCAAACTTTTCTAGAGTGATCATCAATAAAAGTGACAAAGTATAGAGCACCACCAAGTGTCCTAACTTTCAAAGGACCACATACATCAGAATGTACCAAATCTAAAACATGAGATTTTCTAGATGCAATGTTTCTACGGAATGATATTCTGTTTTGTTTACCATGGAAACAATGAACACAAGTTTTCAAAGGCGTACCTTTTATCCCCACTAGAAGCTCTTTCTTGGACAAAACTTGCAATCCTTTTTCACTCATATGTCCAAGCCTTCTATGCCATAAATCAGTGGATGAGTCATTCTCTAAGGTATTCACAACACCTTTGCAGATTTTTGCTTGCATAGTGTAAAGAGAACAAGTCTTCTTTCCTTTTGCTACCACTAGAGAACCTTTGGAGAGCTTCCATTTTCCATTACTGAAATTGTTGATGTAGCCTTCATCATCTAACTTTCCAGCAGAGATTAAATTGAGTCGAATATCTGGTACATGCCTCACATCTCTAAGCAGCAATTTGCATCCAATATTTGTTTCCAAGCAAATGTCACCCATGCCGACAATTTTTGACACATCTTCATTTCTCATACGGACATTCCCAAAATCACCTTGTGAGTAAGAAGTAAAGAAATCAGCCCGCGAAGTAACATGAAATGAAGCTCCAGAATCAATTACCCAATCCGTCTCTTGGCCAATCAAATTAACGCTAGCATCATCACGGATAATCATGAATTCATCATCGGTAACTACAGTTGTATCAATTTGCTTTTTCTCTGAATTTTTTCTTTGTTCTGCTCCTTGAACTTGAGTTTTCTACATTCCCGCTTCATGTGCCCTTTCTTGTGACAATAATAGCATTCAACATCCTTTTTTGACATCGAGCTTGAACGACCTCTAGATTTATCACGGTTGTGCGGAACCCTACTCTTACTCCTGCCTCTCCCCCAGTTTTCCATTACAAGTGCCTCGGAGTAAGGAGAACCTGATGATTTTCTTCTTGTTTCTTCATTCAACAAACTGCTGGTAACTTGACTCATTGTTACCACTCCATCAGGTGCGGAGTTACTAACTGTGACCACCAAAGTTTTCCAGCTTTCGGGAAGTGAACTAAGAAGTAACAAAGCTTGCAACTCATCATCAAAAGTAATTTTCATGGCGGCCAACTGATTCACAATGCTCTTAATCTCATTCAAATGCTCTGCAATAGAAGTACCCTCCTTATATTTAGAGTTCACAAGCTTTCGAAATAAAAAAGCTTTATTCACTGCCGTCTTTCTATCATACAAACTCTCCAATTTGGTCCAAAGACCATGTGCAGATTTTTCTGTAGAGACATGATGAAAGACACTATCATCAATCCATTGCCGAATAAAACCGACAGCTTTTCGGTCTAGCTTTTTTCACTCGTCATCTTTCATCCCTTCCGGTTTGCCACTATCACCCTCTATGGGTCCATTCAAAT